GGCGCCACGCACGTGCACGGGCAGACTCGCTGATCGCTCGGCAAGGCGCCACGGCCGACACCATTGCACCGCCCGCGGCTTGCAGTTGAGGGTTTAAGGCTTTGGCCTTAGGGTTTGCACTAGACGTGGGAAATACGCGTTTCGCGCGTGCCCGCACGGGGAGAGCGCGCCCCCCACGTCGGACCACCGTTGCCCAACATGGCCCACGGACCCCCGCTGTCCGTCGCAAAAAAACGCGCGCGGAGCGTTTTGATCGGACTCTCAGCAAAGATAACGCGGTTCGGCGACCCTCAGATTCGGTCTTCTCGCTGCCCGAAATCATATCTGCACGCACCCGCTCGCGCGCGACGCCCTCCGGCGAGCGCCGAGGGCGCTTCCGCGCGCGCCCGCTCGCGCGCGGCGCTCGTCGGCGCGCCCCGAGAGCGCTTCCCTCCTGCGATAAACAATGCAAGTGTCCATTCGACGTGGAATATACGCGTTTCGCGCGCGCCCGCTCGGGGAACGAGCGCCCCCCACGTCGGATCCTCGTTGCCTGGCGAGGTCCGCGGACGCTCTCTGGCGCGCGCCGAGAGCGCTTCCGCGCGCGCCCGCTCGCGCGCGGCGCTCGTCGGCGCGCCCCGAGAGCGCCCCCCCTCGATGAAAAACAATGCAAACGCTCATTCGACGTGGAAACACACACCTTTCGCGCGCGCCCGCTCTGGGAAAATGCGCCCCCCGCGTCGGGCCCTCGCTGCCCGGCGACGCCCGCGGACCCCTGGCCCCCGTCGCAAAGACGGCGCGCGGAGCGTTTTGATCGGATTCAGCTGAATAACGCGGTTCGGCGACCCTCAGATTCGGCGCTACTTCGGCCGTCGGGGGCCCTCTTGGTCAAATATATTTGGAGCTGAGTTCGTCTTGCGCCCCTCTCCGACCACGTCGGAATCCTTTGGTGGCCCCCGGCGGGCCCCCCGGGGGCTCTCGGGCCGCCTTGGAGCTCTCCTGCACTGTTTGAAATTCTCGCCGGCCCGCCTCGGGGCCCTCTCGGTGTCTCTTGCAACGCCCGGGGCCGCTTCGGGGAGCCTCTGGGGCCGCCGTGGCCGCGGTTGCGGTTAGGACTGCAGCAGCGAATGTCGAAAAGGATATTCTGGAAATATACGCTTTCCCATCAGAAATGCTTGATGTCTGCTCTTGGGGGCCTTCTCGGCGCCCTCTTGGACCGTCTCGAACAAATCCTCTCGGGTCTTTTCGGCCCACCCGGGGGCCCATGCCGGCCGCCCAGGGCCCCTCTTGGCCAGCCGCTGGAAGCTGGGCCCGCCTCGGGCCCCCCCCCGCCCCTCCCCCCGCGGCCCCCGCCCCCCCCCCGACGCGGGCGGCGACGGCGGCCCGGCGCCCCCCGGGGCGCCGCCGCCCAATGCGATGAGCGACGTCTCATCCGCGAATCCTCCTCGCGCAATTTCCTCGGGCCCGGCCCCCGCCCCCGCCCCGCGCGGCAATTGGCCCGCCCGGGGCGGCGAGGGGCGCGAGGGTCGGGGCGAGGGCCATCGCGATAGAATGGCGGCCGCCATAACTGGGACCCAGGGGCCCGCGGGCACGCGCGCGCGCCGCAGACCCCTCCAAATATATATATATATATATATATATATATATATATATACATATCCAGCCGAGAGGGCCGCAAAGGAAGCGGGAGCGAGAGGAGGACCACGACCGGGGATCCAGCCGTCTAAGCATAGACAAACTGAACAATGTTGCACTCTCGCCCAACAGCGCCCCGCGCGCGCCCGGGGCGCCAGGACGGCCCCGAGACCGCCCACGGCGCCCCAAGAGGGGCCCGAGAGGACCCGAGAGGTCCCCGAGAGAACCCCAAGAGCGCACGAAAGCGCCCCCAGAACACCCCGACAAGGCCTCCAGACATGATTTCTAAATCGCCGATGGGGGGGAGGGGGGTGACTTGAAGACCCCCCCCTCTCGTAGAGCCATGGGCCCCCGCCCCCAAAAGGGCCCCGAGAGAACACCTCGACCCCCGAAAGAGCCCCCGGCCTCGAGCGCGCCCCAAGTGGCACTGCGAGGACCTCAAGAGCGACCTCAGACGGCTGCAGGAGAACCCCGAGATCACACTTCCAAGACGGCCGCTGTACTGCATGTTTCTGTACTTCCCTGATCAAGGCAGCTCGCCTGGCGAAATGTTTCTGGATGGACTAGTGAGGATACACAAAAAACCCAGCAGTTGAATGACCTGCCTGATGGTCTAGATCAACGCATCAGAAATTACTCCACTGGTAGCCCACGCAGTCTCCTCACCCACGGCACAGTGGAGGGGCCAGCCTGCACGTCGCCAATACCGCGCTGAAAGCTCCAAAGCCCATCTTGCAGACCGCCGTCAACAGATGGCCCACCATGATCCAACCAGACTTTGGGGTCACGCGAGGGACTGACGTCCAGATCCCTAGGGGGCGCACACGTACCACCGATACTTTGACGAAGTCGATCGCGCCTGGGACAGTCGGCCCAGGCGCGGCGAAAGGAGGGCATCGGAGCCCCGCGGCGCTCGCAGGTAAAACCAGCACGTCTCCTGTTTTCGCTTGTGGCAGCGCCACTGCGGAAGATGGATTGCAAGGTTTTGCCGCTTCCGTTGGGGCCAGCAAGACAACGAGTAGAGATCCTGCTTGCATGGAGCTCCACGTCGACGCCGTCGATCTCTGCTGCGTCGTGGCGAGAGCGAAATACTTCTTGAAGGCATGGCGTGGCGGGATCGTCTGGAAATCGAAGCGAGCCGTCAGTCGCCCCCCCCCCCCCCCGGTGTTTCACGGCATCTGGGACTCGAAAATCACCGACGGCTCGACTTCCAATATGCCCCCCAGGGAGGCTGAGTAGCGCATGAATTTTAAGGCCATGGGCGGCCGCGCGCATCGTGAAGGAGATGTCGAGGTGGCCGGACCACTCCAGCTTCCCGCCTTCTGCAGCGCAAACATGGCCGCGGAGCAGATCCGGTGGAGGAGGACGTTCTGCGCCCACCAGCGGCCGTACTACCACCATGTGGCGTTGGTCCTTCACACGGCTCGCGCGAGTCGGCGCGCGAAGGACTTCGGCGGAGGGACGACGATCGGGCTAGCCCATGGCCTCATAGGGCGAGACCAAGCTTCAGACGGACCTGATTGCTGCCAAGGATGGATGCCAAGACCGAGATCGCGTTGTCGAGCTCGACCCAGCAACTCCGGGGGGATGATCGGGATGGACGTGTCGGTCGGCGCCGCCGAAACACCAAGGGGTTCAAACAGGGCGGGCCCGCGGTCGGAGTCGGACCACCGATGTCGCTTCTTCAGGGTCTCGCGGTAGCCTGAGCTGGTCCGCCACTCTGCCCTGAAGCACGAGGCTGGGTGTTCCTGGGTCCATAGCGCAGTCCGTCGTCAACCCTCAGGATTGACTATCTCCGGGCAAAGACCACGAGTTCCTGGGTTTCCCTAGGCGCAAAGCGTTTTGTTGCGTGCCCCCGCGTTTTGTGGCATGACGTTCTTGGAAGCACAAAAGGGCCCAAGACCGGGCAAGGAGGCCCAAGAACGCCCCCGAACGGCCCAAAGAGAGCCCAGAATCGGCCCCAAAACGATCCCAGACGCCCGAGCTGGCCTCTAAACGACCCAAGAGGTCGCACATATGCCCCAAAAGCCTTCCCAAGAAGTCAAAGAACTCATTTCCCTCAAACTGTTGAAGGATACTACTGTTCTCGCTTCTTCACACCCCCAACACTTTAAAACAACCCAAGAGGTCCCCGACATCATCCCAAGAAGTTACAAGAGGCCCCAAGAGGCCCCAAGGAGGCCCCAAGGAGGCCCCCAAGACGGCCCCCGGACGGCCCAGGAGGGCCCCAAGACGGACCAAGAGGCCCCCAAGACGGCCCAAGAAGCACCCCAAGACGGGACCAAGGGATGCCAAAAAGGACGACAAACACGAACCGACATTCCAAGACCTCTGCCCCAAGACAACCCCGGAAACCACGAACAGACCCCCAGGTGGCCCCCACGAGCTCCATGGGCCCCACAGGGGCCCAAATCGGACCCCGAGAAGACCCACGAGGCCCCCGAGAGGGCCCTCCATCAAGGCCTCTGAGCTATAACCCAGGCGGGATGGGCGGAAGGCGACTAGATACGACTTGCCATACGAATAAAAAGAAAGTGTGACTGTCAGCGCGAGATAGGGGGACCTATACACACAGAGAGATGTGTATGCGTGTGGGGTAAACATAAACATATGTATAGAGAGAGCGATGCATATATAGCAACTGCATGTAACAATGCATACGCATATTCATATATACATTTATACATACATACATACATACATACATACATACATACATACATACATACATTTACATATACATATACATATACATATACATATACATGTACATATACATATAGATATACATATACATATACTTATACCTGTACATATACATATACATATACATAGACATAGACATATACATAGACATAGACATATACATATACATATGCATATACATATACGTATACATATGCATATGCAACTACATGTACATACATAGATGCATGCATAGACATAGACATAGACATAGACATAGACATAGACATAGACATAGACATAGACATAGACATAGACATAGACATAGACATAGACATAGACATAGACATAGACATAGACATAGACATAGACATGGACATGGACATGGACATAGACATAGACATAGACATAGACATAGACATAGACATAGACATAGACATAGACATAGACATATACATAGACATAGACATAGACATAGACATAGACATAGACATAGACATGGACATAGACATAGACATAGACATAGACATAGACATATACATAGAAATAGACATAGACATAGACATCGACATAGACATAGACATAGACATCGACATAGACATAGACATAGACATAGACATAGACATATACATACATGTGGCGAGAGAGAAAGAGAGGTAAAGATAGAGAGAGGAAGGGAAACGAGGGCAGGGCTGGTCCGCCTGGGCGCAGTGCCGCAGCGCCCACCGCGTGGCGCGCCGCTCGCAGTGCTCCTCCGCGCGAGACCACTCGCGCAGCCGCTCGTCGGGGCACGGCCGCAGCGGCGTGGGATGCCCCTGCAATCGGCAGAATAAAAGAGGACAGCAGGGGCACGATGGTACTGGTAAAGATGCTTGATAGTGTTGCTGGTGATGGTGCTGATGGTGTTAATGGCGACGTTGGTTGCGATGACGGGGACTATACGGATAGTGATGGTGATAACAGTGATGAGGCTAATGATGGTGATAAATATTTGTTTGTTTGTTGATGCTGATTGTGATTACGGTTATGGTGGTGGTGATGATGGTGGTGGTGATGGTGATTGCGATGGTGATGAGGTTCATGATGATGATGATGATGATGATGATGATGATGATGATGATGATAGTGGTGATGATGGTGATGGTGATGGTGATGATGGTAATGGTGATGGTGATGGCAATGATGATCATGGAGATGATGAAGATGATGAGGATGATGATGTTGATGCTGACGGTGATGATGATGGTGATGATGGTGATGATTGTGATGCTGATGATGATGATGACCGTCATCATCGTCAGCAGCATCATCATCATCAACACCAGCGTCGTCAATGTTCTGCTGGCGATGGAGGTGGTGATGATGGTGATGGTGCGATGATGATGATGGTGATGACAGTGGTCATGACGATGAAGATGATGATAGTGATGTTGAGCATGATGATCATGATCATCATGATGATGATGCTGATGATGGTGGTGATGGGAGTTGTGCTGATGATGATGGTGATGATGATCATGGTCATGATCATGATGATGCTGATTATGATGATGATGAAGATGATGATGCTGATAATGATGATGATGATGATGATGATGATGATGTTGATGATGTTGATGATGACGATGATGATGACGGTGGTCATTAGGATGGTGATGATGAGTATTCAAGATGTTGCTGATGATGACGATGATCGTGCCCATGGTGCTGATGACGATGTAGCACCCACTATGGAAGAACTCCCTGACAGCACTCGACAGCTCAAAGCAGAAGCACATGCTCTCCAAAACCATGAATACACCCCGGGGAGGAGCGGAAGGGAGAAGTAGAGGAGGAGGGAAACAGGACCCTGGATGACTGCAGTGACTCGGAATTGATGGCCGAACAAAGTCCATCTGATGGTTCATCCGTCTACAACTTCGGCACCTTCGCTCCATGCTGGGCCATCCCTGGTAGTCTTAGAAGAAGACCCCAATGCAATCAGATACGATCACCCGAAAACCTACCAAAACCTCCGAAAACCTCTGGAAGCCTTCGAAAAGCCCTGGAAGCATCCGTGAAGACTCCTCCACGCCTCTTCACCCAATTCCCAGGTCCCAGTGTTCGTCGCGGGCAGATTTCTGGTGGTCGCGGGGCCCGAAATCGGCCCTTCGGAGCCAAAACATAAGAAACAAATATTCGTCGCATCTTTGTCGCGACGCCTCAGTGTCAGGCTCCTGGGCCTCAAGGTCGACCGACAGACCTGTCCTGGAGCGCGATGTTGCCAAGATCTCAAGGCCGACCTGGCCGTGGTCACGAGAACACCCGAAAACCTACAAAAAAATATCACAAACCTTGGAAGCACGTCTTCGTCTTATCAGGGAGACGTCAAACTCGAGTTTGGGAGATTCGAGTTTGCCTGAAGGAAAAAATAAAAACAGCGGGAGCGAACTACCCGTGCAAACATTTCACGAAAACAAGACCGTCAAAACGCAGCGGCAAGCCCGAGTTCTAGCAAACTCGAGTCCCCCGTGTCCCAGCGCCCACGAAGGGTGAGGCCAGGGGGGAGCGTGAGCCGCCTTCCTGGGAAGAAGACCGCCCCAGGCGCCCCGCCTTCAACCCGAACCCACCCAAAGCCAGTCCCAGACCCCTCCTGGGTCCATCCAGCCGCGGCGGCGGAGTCTGCAGGAGCGCTGAAGCACCTCCGCCACGACGACGTGTACGAAGTCGTCGACAGAGGTCGCCCGAAATCTGAAGTCCCCCCCGCAAAAAACAAGTTCAAAAGCCTCGAACCTGGATCCTCACACCTTGATTCGAACACTTCCGAGACGACGACGACGACGACGACGACGAGGACGACGACGAAGACGACGACGACGACGACGACGGCGACGACCGTCGTCCGCCCCATATCGTAACCGCTCGAAGTCCCCAAGACCCCTGGAGGTCCCCAGAAATGGAATTTGTCCAGAGGCCCCCGAAGCCTCCGGAGACCTGCGGAAACTTTCAGGACCAGCTTCCAGCAGTTCAAAGAGCCCCCCCAAACCACCAAGAAAACATCCAAAACGAACGAAACATCCAAAACGACCACGACGACGACGACGACGACGACGACCACGACGACGACGACGACGACGACGACGACGACGACGACGACGACGACGACGACGACGACTTCCTTTCTGGTCGTGGGTTCATTGCCCGCCACTCCCACGGCCAAAGGCCTCAGCGCCGCCGCCGTCGGCGGTGGCGCCGCCGCCGCTAGCTTCGACGGTCGGTAGCGTCCAAGGCGTCCAAGAAGATGGTTCGCAAGTCACGGCCCGAGGCACGGGCACGGACGAAGGGGGGGGCCAGGGGACGCATTGAAGCATGGAGAAGGACCATGAAACCCACGGACACGTCATGCCCCCGGCCATGATATCCACACACACACACACACACACACACACACACACACACACACGCACACACACACACACACACACACACACGCACACACACACACACAAACACACACACACACACACACACACACACACCGCCCACCTCTCTGCCGCCCCCGAACCGGCACCGCCGCCAGTCCTTCGCGGCCGTTGGCTCATCGCCCGCCCCTCCCACTGCCAAAGGCTTCGCCGCCGCCGCTGGCGACGTCGACGCCGCCCGCCGCCGTCCGCGGGCCGGGGCCTCGCCGGGCCGCAGCTCGCCGCCGCACCCGAGCGCCCGCAGGGCCGAAGCGCAGGCCCGCACGCGCGGCGCGCCGCCCGAGGCGCCGAGAAGCGCCAGGCGCGCGTGCACGTCCT